ACGTGTATAGTAAAGACAAACTCACCGTGTCTATCTAGTCATGATGAAGATGTATATACATTTCAATTTCAGCAGGCAACTATTTTTACAGCTACATTATTGTTCCAGCCACAATTAATCACAACAATGTATATACAATTACAAATGATTATATATATATATATACATCGTCAGTTTGTTGTTTTACACGCATGCACGCAGAGATTATTTCATACAGGACATAGTCGTGAGATGCAAGAAACATAGACATATGGCAAGAAATCTGTAGACAGCTCGGTAACCCGCGGCAGCTAAACTCTCCAGAGTCCCGATCCTCAGCCAGCTTTCCGACGAGAACCGGATCCCGTGCAGCAGCAACACGCAGAGTCTGGCACCGCTCGACGGAAGCGCCTGTCGGTAGAACAGCGGCTGATCTCCGCAGATCTCCACCAGAACCGAGCCTTCAGACATGATGATACCCAGCCTCTGGAGAAACACACAGGAGCAAAGTTCAAGAGCTAAACACGTTCGCGTTGATTTCTGCAGAGATATATAGAAAGTAGCTAAAGTTAGAATACGTTACAAAGTAGCCTATTCCACCAATTTATTTAGTTACAGTTTAATAATTCACCTATGAACCGGAGTAATAGTCAGATATTGTTGTACCAGAGTATACTGCTGCAGAGCTTTGAGTACCGGAAGATTCTGTCAGTTTTACCAGAGACACACTGACCTCTAGGGGCTCTGACAACTATTACAACCTCCATAAACGCTGCACAAAACAGTTTCCTCACTGCCTGCCTGGTTTCTCGGCATTACTTAGTCACCTCGCGTATTTTAACCAGCTTTTATGCTAATTATTAATTCATAATTCATTTATTCTCGAATGACTGAATTGCAAGCAGCTTTTAAAATCATTGTGCAGTTACTGAATTAAACGATCTTAACATTTCATGCATTAGCCTACAATTGTTTTGTTTTTTAATTATTATTTTAAATATGTTCGATCTTTAATTACGATAAATTGCTCATATGTAGCTTTTCACATGTTTCCCATTTGTATGGAGATTGAAATGTAAAATGCTATTTAGCTAGCTAGGCCTACTTGTTGCGAATACTGATTTGACACCCTGGGTGAGAATCTGTTTCTGATCACTTCTGAATGGAGCGATTCCGTCGCAATTAATGTGCTTTGGGCTCATTTACACATGTTTAAGTGTGGTTTAGTCTTATGTAATTGTGATCAGATCACCTACAGCCTGTAATATCAGGTGTAAATGGGCCATTGTGTCAAAAAGCTCTCTTACATTTGTAAACAAATCTTTTAATTGAACGAATCGTTCTCGTTCACTGCCGATATATTTCTCATTCACTCAATCATTCAAGTCGATAATAATTTATTGGCACCATCTATTCAAGGCAAGCTATGATTGATTGGTTGATTGATTGGTTGCAGAGCCGATCCTCCCTATACGCTAAATACGCAATCCGTGTAGGGCCCCCGAAACACCAGGGGGCCCCTTGCTCTCAAAGACGATTTAATTTTAGTTTAGTTTTTGAATTTGGCCAGCGGTTATGAAAACGTGAATGATCATTTCTTTTAATGCGGTGCGTTGTCGCCCTTTCTACGCAAAAATTAAATCAAAAAATTTAAAACGAGTTGAAAGCGTACCAAGCCGCGGAAGAGACACCGTTTCTCAAGCGCTTTCCGCGAGCACGATACGAGACGGAGTGAGACACGGACAAATGTGTTTCATTCATTCGTTCATACGCCCACACAGTTTTACGTGTAGGGCCCCCAGAAGTCTAGGATCGGCACTGGTTGATTGATTGATTGATTATGTTTGATTATGTTTAATAAAAGCCATACTCTTGGAAAAATGATCGGAATTAAGGTAGGCTTTGTTGTAAGGAAAATTACTTTTTGGTTTTGGTCGTGAAAGACTCGAAACGAATCGGTTTAATGATTTAATGACTCGCTCGTGAATTAGCCTATTTAATGACTTACTCAAAAACAGTCAGTTGTCTTTGACATAAATGGAGAAATCCTATTTTTATTATATATTATTTATCATCTTATTTTTATTAACAATAGAATGATATTGGGCGAATTCCAAACGGCTTTTTCGCGCCCTTGAAGGGCACTTCCGGAAGGGGACGCCATTTGTAGAGACGTTCCAAACGAAAGTGAACAACTGAATCCCTTCACGAAGGGCCCTTCCAGACGTCCGTAAGCGAAGGGGAACATGCGATGGTTTCCGTTTGTGATCATGTGATCTTCGGTTAGGAGTTCTTACGATGCTTTTTAAAGCAAAGTTGGGGTTGATTTCGAGTTCACATACAAACATAAATAGAATAGGCTAATTAAATGAGTGTATTTTAATGTAGCCTAAGAGACAACATAATTTTCGTCAGTGATAGAAATATGATTTAAGATGGTAGTGTAAGCAAGTTTAGTTTGAAAACGTTTAATAGTAAATAAGACACAATTGGACGATATTTGAATAAAATAATAATAAGAAGAAATATTTATTTGCAACAACTGATGAAGTGCTGAATGCTGCACGCACGCGCTGCGTTGTCAAGGTAACGTTTGGTCAGTCATTCCCTTCTTCAAGGGAGTTCCAAATGCCCTGCACCCTTCAAAGAACACACTTCAAGGGCTCTGCCCTTCGAAGGTAGTAGGGCACAGGGATGCTCACTTCCGCTTGGAATTTATGTAATAAAAAGTAGGCTAGTTATTTATTAGTAGTAGTAATAGGAGTATTTAATTAACAAATAATGAACAAGTAATTTATTATTACCTCAAATTGTAAGTTATTAATAATAATAGGCTGTGTTATTATTATTGTTATATTCTTATTAGTTTGTTTTTGGCATATGTTTGAGGTTAAGAGTTGTTTACTTTAGCCAAATTTATTGGGAAATGTCCTGTTCTATCAGGTCATCTGAGGAGTAAACACACACACACACACACACACCACCCCCTTCATCAATTCTTCCAGTCGAAAAGAATCAAAGTCCTCAGATGAGCTCTGCTGTTGGAGTAAAGCAGCTCTTATACCATGACTCCACTCTTCTTTCTCACAGCTCTGCTGCTCTGGCCTGACACAGTTCATGGTAAGATCAATACTCTCATAATTAATGAGTTCTTATTACACATGAAGTATTTTGATACATTTAATATTGTTGTGTTTTAAGGTGAATTGTTTTTAGACAGCCTAATTGATTAGGCTCCCAAACAGCCAGCAAACCTATGTTACTCCATTCTGCTCAAACACCACAACACTATAATAAAACTATGATTAGTATTATCCAACACTGCCATAAAACAAAATTACAGACAGAATATGAAAGTTTACCGAGCTATATAAAGAAACTTCACAATAAAAATGAGCTAGAGAGATTTATTGCAGTGGTTTTCTTGATATTTGAGTAACTCTTACAAACATTCCATGTGGAAAACATGGAATTACCATGGTAAATATCAGTTGCTATTGGACTCACACCGTATTCTTGTCACATTTTATGTTATTAATGGCCCTTTTTCATCATGCGTACAGGCACATATTCATATAGATGTTTAATGAATTTAAACATAAGCATGTGTGTACAGCTGTGGACTGCTTTCTGTGCCAGTTTCTGTGTACTGTGTAGTTATTTGGGCATCACTTCATGATCATGCCATGCCACTGGGAATATTGTGGAACAGATGTAGTTTACAGATCCAAAGGTCATGTGTGTTTAAGCCCCTCTGACACACACACACACACAGAGCGAGAGAGAGAGAAGGAAAATTACAACA